AACCAAGCCCCCTCGGTTTCTAGCTGTCCCTCCCCCTCCCGCTCCCGAGAGCGTTTCTTGTCCTCGCAGCCCCGGCCCTTTCTGATCACAGGATCCAGACTTTCCTGGAAGTTGTTTATGGAGTTGGTGCCTTGGCCCCTCGCTCGCCTCCCCTTGTTCCCTGGAACGCGGGCGGGCGGGCTCGCTCTCCTCGAACCTGGAAGGCTCACGTGCGGGTGTCCCGGTTGTAGACCGTGATTTGCCGTGATTCACCGAAATGCGGTGGAATGAGCCGCATCTGCACGTTGCGCGGGCCCCGCGCCGCGCATTCCGGTGCCTCGGAGAACACAGGGCAGGTTGACTCATCGGCCGAGTTGCCTGCCTGGTTCAGCTGTGATTAAAAGTTACTGTTGGGGAAGCGATGACTAATCCGAGGCTCGCCATTGCCTTTTCGTTTCTTACTGAGGACGTGAGCGTGACTGTGGCGCACACACAGCAGGCGTTCGATTACTTGGTCCACTGGATGCGGCGCTGAAGTGAAACTATTAGGAAAGCGCTCACATCCCCATAGGTCCCCGTGGAGTGGTTGAGTGTAGGTTTTTCCTTTGTTTCTTCATCTTAAAAAAAGAACTTGCTTCAGGCTAAATTTCAGCTTAGGAACTTTGCCCAAAAGTTGATTGGTTTTCCAAATTCTGCGATGTCGTTAGTCCACTTGGGCTGTAACTTGAGTGAGAAGAAGAAGAGTTATCGCCCCATTCCCATTCCTCCCCCATCTTCTTGCAAGCCTGTTGTGTGTTCTCCTGCCTCAGACCAAGGGATTTTGGAATTCAGAAAAACTCACTTAACCTGCTGGCAAAAACCTGGGTTAAGAAGGAGAAAGGAAAAACAATTTAGCCGTTTGCCTAAATACTTCAATTTGTCAGAAGTAGACTTTATGCCTTTTTCTTTTACTCCTGGAAGTGGGTTTCTGGACTCATGGGTCAATGTGTGTTGGCATTGCACTGTACAGACGACAGGGCTATGCTGCTAGTTAATATGTTTTGAAAGCATAATACACATAGGAGATTGAATTCCCCATTTTGTGGCACCTATATGCCCCCAAATAATTGCAGCTAAAAAGTATACTCTATCAGTGGTTCTCAACCTTCTGGCTCTTTAAATACAGTTCCTCATGTTGTGACCCAACCATAAAATTATTTTCGTTGCTACTTCATAACTGTAATGTTGCTACTGTTATGAATCGTAATGTAAATATCTGATATGCAGGATGGCCTTAGGCGACCCCTGTAAAAGGGTCGTTCGACCGCCAAAGGGGTCGCGACCCACAGGTTGAGAACCGCTGCAAGTCTAATTGCACAAGAATTTATATCCAGCAGTTTATTGGTTTATACTACTGACTGTCTAATATAGATTTGTTTTTAATAAGTTTCTTAAGCGATGTGCATCTGTAAGTTTGACTTATTTTTGCTGATGATTTCCTAATTCAAATATATTCTGATTGGAAACTCAGAAATGTACATGACTTTAAGGCATAAATGCCTCTCTGATTGCTTCCAATCTCCCTTCCTTGCATATATGAGTCTAGGAAATTCTAACTTTCCGGTAATCAGTCCCTAATTCTAATAATGGAATTTAAATAACTGAATTATGAATAGTGTATGGGTTGTAAATAATATCCACCAACTATTGGATGTAAATTCATTCATATGTATATGTATGTGTAAGTTCTTAAGTTATATTGTAATTGAACTGTTGACATCTTTATTATCTAGGTACAAATAATATAGTTGGATTTTCATTCGTTAGGTGGCTTTTAAGAACATTTGGCTAGTTCTAAATCTTTTGCATTCATTAAAAGTTATATAACTTGTGATGGTTGTTTTACTGATGGCATTTGTCCATGATGAGGAAAAAAATGACAGTTGTCATGTGTTTAGGGCTTAGCTTAGAAAAAAAATTAACTACGTACTTAAATATTAGCTAGTGGAAAAATTGCAGTTATGTTCCTTGGCTTACATTTATACCTGGAACATTTTAAAACTTGGGAAAGCACCCATACTTCATTGACCTTATAGAAATTAGGTTTTAAAATTCAAAATTTATTATTTTAGGGCTGTTTCATTCATTCTGTACTATTTGTCTTTAAAATATGTAGAAAGCACATCAAATGTGTAGTAGGTAGAAAATTCACTTAAATGGATTGCTCATCAATAAAATTATAAATGTTTGTAAAAGTACATATTACAATTACATAAAACCTTTAAAAATACCTATCTGCATACCTGTATTTCTCTCTGTCACATATTAAATGTTGAAATTTGCCTTTGGTACTTAGATATTCAGTTGCAATGAAAGTCTATCTAGGAAATTTAAAGGGACTACTTAAAAACAATTTTTAAATTTTCATTTTAATATTCCTATAGGCCAGTACTGATGCAGGCACTGCAGGAGCCCTGACTCCACAGCACGTTCGAGCTCATTCCTCTCCAGCCTCACTGCAGCTGGGAGCTGTGTCCCCTGGGACACTGACCCCCACAGGAGTGGTCTCTGGCCCAGCAGCTACCCCGACTGCTCAGCACCTTCGACAGTCTTCTTTTGAAATACCTGACGATGTACCTCTGCCAGCAGGCTGGGAGATGGCGAAGACATCTTCTGGTCAGAGATACTTCTTAAAGTAAGTGAAAATATGGAGGGGGATAGTTTTCTAAGGAAAATGTATTTTGGAAAACACAGTTACAATGGTATCGAATTAAAATGCCATTTATTTTTTATTTTACTTAATATTTCTGTCAAGTTCAGTTAATCTTCTGTAATTATTTTCTCCCAGTTTGGTATTATCTAAATACCTTCTTTAGCTTGGGTGAATTTGGAAAGCTTGATTGATTCTTGTTTCAGAGCCTTTTAATAATCTCATATGGAAATTAGGGTATTCTCATTTTGAGTTTGTGCCAGACCTATTAATTAATCTAGCTTAAAACTGAAAGAATACCATGAGAAAATTCAAATTGTGAGACTGATAGGGCCGACATAGTCTTACGAAATATGTATAGTACTAATATCTTTTTAAATAAACATTTTACTGGTAAAGAAGAATTACAAAATAGTAGGACTTCTTTGGGAGTATAATTTTACAGCATCTTAGATTGTGAAATAACAAACCATGTAGCTGCAGTTTGATGTGATTTATCAGGATTCCCCCCCCCTCCCCCCCGAATATAAAGAGAAACAGAATTTTTAGGTTTAATATACAACCTCTTAGTGGCAAACTTACTAGCAGGTCTTCAAAATTGAATCCCTCCTTTGGAAAAGTAAAAACAAGGCCATTAGGTTATTTATATTTATCAGACTTTCTGTGCTTAACAAAATGGTAAAATTTCATCAAAGCTGAAAAGATCAAAATAAAATTTTATCCCCTCTCGCTTTGAAATTATAGATAAGACCTTAATATTTTTTGTTTGGTTTGGCTTGTTTAAGTGTGTACAAAATGTTTTCTAAAAGTAATTATTACAGACTGAAATTGTTGTTTTAAAAAAGTAGTTTACTTAGTACTATTTAATCAGGTTGAGATAATAGAGTGAAAAACTGTTTTGATTGAGATCTGTCTTGGCAATCTACTCCTACGGCAAGTGTAACATATATTTATTAGATTAGATAATACAATTAATGATACTGTTTTACTGTGTGCGTCTTAGTATTTTATATTAATTGACTCTCAGGGTAGGATGTTACTTTGTAACGTAAGATACAGTTTTTGTGAGAGACAGGCTTATTTAGGGGATGAGCAGAGGAAAAAGTTTGATCTTGAAAAGTCTCTACAGTTTTTGTTCCCTTTACTGCAACTTTTTTCTTCTTTTAATTCGTTTTCTGATGTCCTGGTATCCATTTCAAAGGGTCAAGTTTCAACCAGAACAATAAGGGGCCTGAGACTGGAAAGTACACACAAGTCTGGCAAACTCATCTGCATGAGCAAGATCATTTCTTCTCAAGCAGGCGTCCAAAGTAAATGATTGAAAGAGCTGCTAGCTGTGAGGATGTGTCTTTAAGGGAAAAGGAGTGGAAACAAACCAGGTTGTTAGGCGGAAAAAGAAAGGCTGTACTTTTTTGAACCTCTCCCTGCTGGGTCACATGCTGACCTGGGGAGATTTTTAAACAGCTTAATAGCCTGCTTACCTTCTTTCTTTGGTTGATTCTGTCGCTGAAAGTATAAGGTTAAAGAGCAACATTTATGCTCTCCTTAGTCTTTTGTATTTTGTAATAATTGCTTATTGGTGACATCTGCCTATATTTTCATTTTGAGTAATCCTTTTGTTTTGAGCAGAAATAAATGTCCTATAATTTTATTTTTTAAAGCCTCCAATGGTTCTTCCTATGAGAAGTGTTTCTCTTAAAAGATATTTGATAAAGATGGATTAATGAAGAGTATGTACACATACCACATCACTCTGAGCACCCCACTTTAGCGGGCCCGCAGGGTGGCTACACCAGGCCAAGTAATAGGAAAATTATGCCATAAGAGTAATGGTTGCAGGAGTGGAGAGAAGCTCACCTGGGAAAGAAAAAAAAACTCCTTTGAAAAAGAGAGAAAACATGATTGTTCTTCAAAATTTTTGAATTTCATTATTTGAAAGTTGCTAAGTGAGTAAATCTTAAAAGTTAAAAAAAAATTCTGGTCCTGGCCAGTTTGGCTCAATGAATAGAGTGTGGGCCTACAGACTGAAGGGTCCCAGGTTTGATTCTGGTCAAGGGCACAAGCCCAGGTTGCGATCCCCAGTGGGGGTGTGCAGAGGGAGCCAATCAGTGATTCTCTCTCTCATCATTGATGTTTCTCTCTCCCTCTTCATCACTCTCTGAAATAAATAAAAATATATTTTTAAAAAATTCTGTAACTATGTATGGTGACAGATGTTAACTATAGTGGTGATCATTTTGCAATATACATATATATTTAAAAGATCAAAATATATATATAAAAACTAGAGGCCCATTGCATGGATTTGTGCACCGGTGGGGTCCCTCAGCCTGGCCTGCAGGGATCAGGCTGAAACCGGCTCTCCGACATCCCCCAAGGGGTCCTGAGAGGGCGGTTCTTGGGTGATGAACCCTGGTATTGGGCTTCCTCCTCTCTGGTTCCAGGTGCGTCACCCGAGAACTGCAGCTGCCAAGTCACCGCAGCTCAGCATCTCCTGCATTGAGCGTCTGCCCCCTGGTGGTCATTGTGCGTCATAGCTACGGGTCGAACAGTCGGATGGTCGCTTAGGCTTTTATATATATAGATGCTGAATCATGTTGTACACCTGAATAATGTTGTATGTAATGAGGTGTGTATACCTCAATTAAAAAAAATGGGGCAGGGAAATATTTTTGAGGGACTCATGTGGAAGTAAAATTAGGCTTATTATATGTTAAGAAATATTAGGATTTTTGACTCAGTTGAATAATTTTCTCATATCATTCCTTTCAGAAATAGAAGGTTTTCCCTGAGAGAGAGATCTTGGTCAGTAAAAGCAGGCAAAATCATGGGTTAGCTGGTACCTGTCAGGAATTCTTGAGAGGGCCCCTAAAAATTGGATGTGGAAGATGGGTATTATTCTAAAGATTGTCTGCTTTATGAACAATATGAAATTTGGAGAAAAGTTATGAAAAGATTAGTTCACGTGCAGTTGTTAGCTACTTCCATGAATTATTGTCTCTTTGAGTTGTCATAAACAACTTATTTTTGTGTACTGCACAGGTAAATGATTAATATCTGTCCTATGAGTCAAAGATGATAATGAATGAAGCTTTTGGAGCCAAGTTGCTTCTGTCAAAGTTCATTTTTATCTGAGTCTTGATGTTTCAAAGTCAGGCTCTCTTTGCAATCCATACTTATATATTTTCCTTTTGTGGCTAAAGAAAATTCTTGTTGCCAGCTAAATGTAGAATGAAAACTTAAATTAGTTGCATATTTTACAACTAGTGAAAAATTATATCTTAATATATTTTTAGGTTGGAAACTTTTCACTTACAAGTATATAATTTAGTCCTAGCCTGTTTGGTTCAGTGGATTGAGCATCGGCCTGCCAACCGAAAGGTCCCGAGTTCGATTCCAGTCAAGGGCAGGGGCCTTAGTTGCAGGCTCCTCCCCAGCCCGGCTCTGGTCGGGGTGCATGTGTGCAAGAAGCAACCAATTGATGTTTCTCTCACATCGATATTTCCTCTGTCTTTCCCTCTCTCTTTCATTGTCTTTAAAACTCAATGGAAAAATATCCTCAGGTGAAGATTTAAAAAAAAACACCAAGTACAGTGGGGCCTTGACTTACGAGTGTCCCGACTATAACGAGTTTTTTGAGATACCAGCTGTCTCTCGGCCAATTTTTTGCATTGAGTTGATAGAGTAATTTGAGTTAACGAGCTTAACGAGCTTTGTCTCGGAACGAATTAAACTCGTAAGTCAAGGCCCCACTGTATATGCTTTATCGAGATTTATACTTGTCATGAAGAAATCTGATCATAAAAGGTCCAAACTTAGAAGGTGATGTAATTTGTTTGAAAACATAAATGTTGACTTTGGAAGCAACTAATTGTTGCCTTGTAAACCACAGATGAATGACTTTGAAGTCAATTGGCCCATCTTCTTGTTTCAAGGCAGAGTAATTACGGGAGAAGGATTATAGACAGGCAGCCATTGGGATTTTTAAAGCTCTTCCTAGGTTAATGAGATCTTCTGGAAAAGAATTGTGCCTTAGCTTGACAAGTGATAAAGTGAATTATGGTGATTCTACCTACATTTATCAATGATACATATTTAAGCTCTTGTATGATTGTGAAGTATGTAAAAAAAGCTTAGCCTGTATATTATGTATAATATTTGTTCTACTGAATTTACTGTTTAAAACTAAGTTCTTCAAAGTTGAGCTTTTATTTTTTAAAAATCATTTCTCTTTATTACTCTGAAAAGTATTGCCTTCTTCAGCTGTCTTACAGTTTTCCTACAGGAAATAGTTCTTCAAGTAGTTGGTCAACAACTTCCTATTTCTTTATAAGCTGCTGAATAACTTCCTGAATTAGTATTCTGTAATATCTCTGGTTACAAGGAATGTTTTTCTCAGATTTATTTTATTGAACCTGATACCTTGTAACTATTACCATGTACAAAGAACTTCTTGTATATAATGTATGATATAGGATTTCATACTTTGATTTAAGAAATCCGATGCAATGATTTTAAACGTTTATAAATTTGCATTGTTTTAGTAATGTTCTAATTTTTAAAAGATCATTTTGTTTCATTTCTATTATTTATCACTTTCTGAGTACTGGCCATTGTCTTCATACTTTGAAGACTCAAGGTTTCATGTGGCTGTGATCTGATTAAAAGTTATATTGAGTATCTTGATCCAAGAGTATTTTGTTCAGAGATTTTCAACATTGCACAGCAATATAAATTAGCCAGTTTTACAACATTAAGTGAACTTGCCTTACAGATGTTATTGATCACTATAAATGCTTTGATTCTTTATGTTATTTCAGAAGTTAATGCTCCACTGCTTTAATTAAAGCTACCTTAGAAATGTATCAATTAAAGATGAATTAAATTGTTTCTTGTTATAATTTGATCTATGCTTCTCTTAAACACTTACCCTGCAGAAGACTATACACAAATGCAGTGTGTATTGTTACTTACAATAAAGATTA